AAGGAAACTTTTCTTCCAGCTCCCTTTACTGCCATGCACTTTGATGGCAAATAACTTTCCTATCCCTAGCTCAGCCATGTCCTGAGAGTTTTGTGGAATCCCCAGCACTGCCCCAAGGAGCTGGACAGCACAGGATGGTACAAGTAAAATGCAAGTGTTAGCATCCACCTGTACTGCATCCCCCAAACGCATGATAGAAACCTTAAAGCTGCAGAGAGAGCAAGTGGTTTGCAGTTCAGTTTTTTTCCCCCTTTTCACACCCTGAAATGGAAAGCTGCAAAAGAGCTGTTGTATTTTGGCAGAAGGCATCAGGTTACTGAACACAGGGGCTGAACCTGCACCTGGGAGACAGGTTCAGCAACACTTGCCCTTTTTGTCCTAGACCTGATGTTGTTTCACCTGCAGAGTAAAAAAGTAGTTTCATGACAGTGTGCAAACTTCCAAAGCCACCTTTTAAAAAACTGAAATGAGTGCCTGAATGTTCAGGTACTTTTTGCAGAAGATACATACTTCTCTATTGTGGGAATTCCAAGGATAGAAAATTCTCAAAATCTTGTGCATGCAGGCTCAAACACAGAAATGAATACAGGGTTTGACCTGAGACCTTGTCAAAGGGTTCTGAATCTAGAAGAAATAAGCAAAGAATATGAGTTTGTAGTTAAATAGAAAGACATTAAGCTAGGCAGTGGAAAGTTTTAAGGTTTTAAAGTTAAGATATTGAAGTAGTTATAAAGGTAATAAGAAGTTTTAAAGCATAGCAAATAGTTTTGTTTGTCATTATATGATTATATTATCTAATTAGTTAAGAGATTCCACACTGCAGCAAAGACATGTTAGACAAAATAATCAACTATTGGTGTGAAAGCAGAAACATTCTTTGTGGCAGTTTATTGGCTAATTAACCTTCAAGAGACCTTGTAGCCTGTGGTCTTGTGACCACTGACATCTAGCAAACATGGTAAAGATGTTCTCACTCCTTCATGAGAATGTAGAAGAAGAATAATAAATCATGCTTCAAGACGTCACCCAGTGGTCCTGTGTCTCTTAAAATCGCAATACTCTATGTATTTAGGCCAGTTTGGATGGGGTACTGAGCAACCTGGTCTAGTGGGAGGTGTCCCTGCCCATGGTAGGGGATTCAGACTTGATGAGATTTAAGATCCCTTCCAATCCAAAGCATTCTGTGATTCTATTATATGTGGATACATATATCACTCTTCTGCAACTCATGGGTGTACGCAGTAACAAGTAACTAGTGCAAGTGCAGCAGTTCCTGCTTACACAAGCAGCACACTCTGATTCTGCTGCAAGGGGGGCCTTTTTAATCCCAGACTCTGGGGTTTTACCAAGTTAGAGCAGTGTGTGCTGTGTCAGGGAGATAGGCAGCCATCACCAGTGCAGCACAGAAGCAGTGTGGCTCCACACCATCCAGATGGACACTGATTTACCTTGGTTAGAGAGCTCAGTTCCTGAGCTGGGTATGCAGGCTCTGTGGTCATTATTTCTGCAATGAACACAGGCTATCTTCTTGCTTGCATCCTGAAAATAAGGCCTTTTGGGGGGGGTTTAATTTGGCTTTTTCTTGTGAGGATGTGTTTGAGAGCTCTCACAAGTGGATGGAGGCAGAGACGGGTGGGGCGACCAGACATGGTAACTTACTCTGGCTGATGAGGTGTTTCTTGTTCCTGAAAAAAAGGAAAAATAAACAAACAAACTGAGGCTATCCAATATACAGATGTTGCTCAAACATGTGAGGGTCTGCATGGTGTTGAGTCTGGGATCTGTGATAATGCTACAACTTAGCCTCAGTGATTTGCTGGGTTTTGTTCCCAGAGCTCAGGGTGCTTCAAAGTGCTGACATTACAGAGCTACTCCTGGCCCACATTTTGCCAGGCATGTAAATATAATTAATTTCCTTTTTCTGGTTTCTCCTCAGAGAAAAAGGAAAATCATATGAAACGTTGAGTTGCAGAGGGCCAAAATATAAAGGTTGTGTACTGATAATGGAGGCTGACACAAGGTGCATCTTAGATATTCTGCCCTCACACTTTTATTCTAAAATTTAATGTTGGCAAAAGAATAATAAGCTGTGCGTGCAGCTGATGCTCGTTTGCATTTGTGTTTGTGCTCTGAGAGGTAAAGAAGGACATTCCTTTTTCTTACGCTGTCACTCCCTCTTCTTGCTCATCAGCTCTCTCCCCAGCTGGTGACTGTGGCACACACAGTCCTGTCCCTGACAACATCTGGGGAGAGGTGGAAGCCAGGGCAAGCTCTGCCTTAGGTAATGCCTATACAGGTTTTAGGGGTGCCCTGGCTGCTGAGCTGCATGGCAGGGGTGCTCCTTTCCCTGGCTGCAGCAGCACCTTGGTCTCTTCCCACCATGCTCAAAGTGTCCTTCTGGTTTTGTTTTCTTTACTTATTTTTGGCCCTGAGGTTTCCTTTCAGAATAGCTCCAGGGCATGGAAATAAGACAGTGTGGCCTCAGCCCCGCAGTGCGCTCAGAGAAGCACTCTGCTCTGCTCATTTACTGCCCTGCAAAAATAATAACTAAATTTGGACTTAGGAGCCATGTCAGCCTGAGCCAGACAGGGACACTCTGACCCTGAGGTCCCCAGGGGCTCAGGCAAGTACACCCAAAACATACAGGGTACCCTCAGTGGGTGCAAGCTGCAGCACAAAGCTGCAGCCAGTGGCTGGTGCAAACCCCACCTTCCACTAGACCATGTTGGTTAAAACCCCATCCTTTGGAGGCAGTTATGCTGTTCTATGTTTTGTTTCCAGCAAGGTGAGATCATTTTCATGAAGATTTCAAAGCCTGTAATTTCTTTTAATAACAGATTCCTTTCAAACAAAGGGGTGATCGCTCCAAGCCCTGCTGCCTTGGAGAGACAGAATTCTTGCAAAAGCATTAAGAGAGCAAGACCAATGCTCCAAGCTTGCCATGTGATGCTTTTTAAGGTAATAATAAAAAATAAATTTCAAATAGAAACGTTTTGGATATGCTGGCTGAGTTCCCTGCTGATCTCCTGCCATGGTGTCAATGAGGTTGCTGGTCCTCAGGGCCTACCCGGGCAGCACCCGCTCCAGGAGCTAAACATAGGTGCTGGCTGCACAAGGCACTTGGGCACACATTAATTATCCTGGTGCTTTTTAGGGATCTTGGGTGAAATATGTGTTTTTATAGTCAGTTTTACCTTTTTTTTAAAGCTGCCTGGAGCAGAAGCCCTTTAATTACATTAAAAATTGCCTCCCACCAGGACTCTCTGTTCCCAAGCCCTGATGAAATTTTAGGCTCAAAGTCGGGTGCCTGCTCACTGCTTTAATAAGCCAGGCAGCTTAGGACAACAGGGGACAATGGGAAGGAGGGCTATATCTGCCCAGAATGCCCTGCATTACTCCCAGCAGGGCAGCCCCTCCAGCTGCTGCAGCCCCATGGAGATGGGGGGACATGGGAATCCTCACAATGCTGATCTCTCTCTATATCAGAAGCTGCTGCGTTGGCACCGAAAAACTGAATGGCTGGGGTTTCTTTTCTTTTTTCTTTTTTTTTTTCTTTTTTTTCTTTTTTTTTCTTTTTTTTTTTTTTTTTTTTTTTTTTTTTTTTTTTTTTTTTTTTGTGTGTGGGTTTTCCTGGCACAAGGCATAAGCTGAAAGCCACGACCAGCTCCAGGCCTGCTTTATAATTAGGACTCTTCACAGAGTGAAGCCCATGGGGCAGCTGTGTCCAGGGGCTGCATGGTGAGCATGTGTCATGTCCTGCTGCCAGGGGTGCCAAACCCTTGGGAGGCTATGGGGGACCTCTCCCTCCACAGAAACAAGGAATGTGCATAGTGTTCCATCAGCAATTATCAACTCCCCATTATGTACCTGTCAATGCTGGGCTCCCCTGCATGTAGGTGAGGCTGTTTGTGCCCCTAGTTTTGAGAAGAAACATTCAGATTTTTCATGGCAAAGTAGATTTTTCTGTCCTAAATAACCACAGTTTTACCACTGGCTAAGCTGACCTTTACAGACCTGCCTGAAGGCATTTATTTTTCAGCACCTCTGTTCCCTCTCCTAGGGCTGTAGGGCTGAAAGCATCGAGTGGGAATTACAGGTCTCCTTGCCACTGTGGGAAGCAAAGCTGCATTCGGTGAGGAGTCATTCCCTGAGCTGCTGCAGCTCAGACGTTCAGGAGCTTAGGGGCCTTTGCTGAGGAGTGTAAGAAAAATCTGGGAAAAAGGGAGCAGAGGTGCACTGGAGAGCTGGGTGGCTGAAATCCAAGCAGGAAATGATAAATATAGGTAAAGAAGAAAATATGTCCCTGCAGAGGTGGGTGCCGGGGGCAGCATCCGCTCGCTGTATCCTGCCATCAAGGTCCCCAGTGTGATTTGAGCGCACGTGTGGGTGGGGCTTTTTCATTTTCTCCCCAGCCCCAAGCAGTTACTCTGCTTTGCTGGGGACGTAAGCAGATTTCAGCTGAGCTATGCCTGATTCTTGAGAGCAGGGGACTGGACTGGACCCTGTGCGGGTCTGCGTAGTTTGCAGGGCATTAGAAACAAAGCAGAAATGCATTTTGTAGCAACACTGTGGTGGAAATGGCTCTCAAATGGTGACACCTGTATCTGAGTCTACAGCAGAGGATTTGTCACATTGTAAAACAGCGTGCTGATTTTCCCCTCTGAATATATGAAGTTTGTGACCTGGGGGCTGTGAGTGCTGCCAGCTGGAGAAATAAGCTCAACTGGAGAATTTAATAAGGCAGAGCATCCCACTGTCCCCAAGCACTGTCCCCTTTTCTTTCTCTGCCCTTACCAAGGCCTCTGCAGGCATCCTGGAGAGGGATTTGCTTGGATTTAGCTTTTTCTTTGGTCTAATGGCCCTGCCCAAGTGGCTATGGAGCCGGGCCTTTGAGGTTAGTCTTTTTGTCTACTTGAAAAAACAGTGACAGAATTTCCCAAAAAGGGAGGTGGATACCCCCCAGGAACAGATTTCCAAATATTTATTTTAATTAAAACCCAGAGTGTTATTATACCCTTGGCATCCCAGCCGCTCATCTGAGGCCAGACCCTCAATTTAGCGGTGCAGTGCAAACCTTGCTGGGTTTGGCAGCAGCACAGGGTGCTATGTTTGTGCACCAAATCTGCCAGCGTTGAAGTTTTGGAGGGTTTTTGGTGCATGCTGGAGGGCTGGCGTCACTCTGGGTAGGGCGGTGACTGGCTTGGGGGGGGCAAAGCCAGACCTTATATCCCAGCACAGCAGCTGCAGGAGGAAATCTGTGCCCGCTGACTCCGTGGGTAGCTCTCGGTGCTGGGGCAGGGTAAGCTTGGTGCCGCTTTTCCCAGTTGGGTTGTACATTGATGTCTGTTTCTTGCAGGGGGATGGTGAGGCTCAGCTTGCTGGCAGGACGGGGTGCTGCTTTTAGTCCTTTCCTGGGTCTGTGGCTTCATGAAGTGCTTGGGTGGAGATGAGCACACAGAGCCTCGCTACAAGGTCAGGGAAGCTTGAGGCCACTTGTTTTCTAGCCTGAGTTAAGCAAAAATAAGGAAACTTCAAGCACAGATAAATGTAATAACAATTCCCTACAACCACAGCTGATACTGGGTTTAGGCAGAGGAAGGGTAGGAAAAAGGAAGATTAGTGGGCCTGACTGAACCTAGGGGGATGCTGGGAGCATTGTTCCCTGGGGGAAGGCTAAGGTGCTGCTGGGATGATTGGGTGTACTCCTTGCTCCTTGATGGAGGAGGGCAGGCTGTGTTTTGGTGCTTTGGGTGTTTAGCTCAGACCGCCCAGAGCCAAGTCCCCTCCAGCTATGCCTGTGGGGGGCTCTTTGCATTGGTGCCTTGCCACTGCTATCTTTGCCAATTGCAGGCTGTAGATGCCAATTATTTCCATTATTTGCTTCCCTGTTTTTCCTCAGTGAGGTTAAACTGTCTGCGGTGTAATTCCCAGGAACACTGCTCTCTGGGTAAAGCCCAAGCAGGTCTTGGAGCTATGGGACAGCAATCACAGTAGGCAGTGCTTCTAGCTGCTCCTGTTGCATTTTCAGTGGAGCTTGGCTTTCTCCCCTCCCTCAAAGGCAATGGGGAAGCAGGAAGAAGTTGTCCTGCTCCAGGAAAGCTTTGAGTCTACTACATGGTAAAACTTGCTTTCCTGGTATTTTGTGGCTTCTGGAAAAAACAAGATGTATTCATAGAAATTGAGGAAGATCTTAAAAAAAAAAAAAGAAAAAAAAAAGAAAGAAAGAGAAAAGAATAGAAATAATTTGGTCTACAAAGGAGTTGGGTTACCCCATTAAGAAGTGACTAGAGGTCAGCCTTTCTTCTCCCCACTCACCCATGTGGACACTGACATGTGGATTTGGAGTGGTGTTGGTGCTCTTGAGCTGAAAAGCAAGCCCTCAATATGTTTCGGTGTTCCTAGAGACAGCAGCCATGAGGACAGTCCTGGTGTTTGTCTGCCTGGTGGGGATGGCGTGTGCCTTCTCGGTGAGTGCCAAGTGAGGGGGGATCCCCCCCCCACCTTGCTGGGGCTGGTGTGGGGCTTGTACCAACCCACCCTTTCCCCCAGGTCAAGAGCTGGCTGTGGCGACCCAAGTTGGATGACTCGGAAAAGAACGCGGTAGGGTCTCCCCCACCCCGTGTGTCAAGTCCCACACGGGGCTGATCTTGAGGAAGAGCACATTTTGGTGGCTCCTGTACCCAAGGCCCCAGACTGATGGGATTTTCCCCCTCCTTCTCCCGGTAGGTTTTCAAGAGCCGGCGCCACCATTACCTGTACAGATATGTGTATCCCCCGCAGCGACGGTACCAGGTGGGTGCTTCCAAGGGGTTGCTGCTGCTTTGCCACCCTCCAAATGCAGAGATTTTGACCCAAAAGAGATGGGGGCACGGTCTGTGTCCTGTTGGCATGGCTTGTGGGCCTGGGCACAGATCATTGTACTCATGACACCACTGGGAACCCACCCACCCGCCTACAACTTGGTTTTCCCTCTTCTTAGGGCAGTGACTCATCTGAGGAAGAGGGGGATGACTCGGAGGAGGAGGAAGATGGGGTGAGTATGGCAAACCAACAGCCTGCAAAACAAATACGGGAATTTGGGAACTTTCTTTGGTTTTGTAGTCTCTGCTCAAAGCATTTGTGGTCACTGACCACCCACAGACTTGCACTCTGGATACAACTGGATTTTCTACTCTGGGGCTTATATTATTCTTTTTTTGTTGATTTTTTCCTTTTGCTTTCTTTTTTCTTTCTGGGTAGAGGTTGCACCAAACAACCCTGAGACAAGTTCTCTGGGTCTTCATTTCCAGTGCCTCAGAAAGAAGCAGGACAGGCCAAAGGACAGAAGCAGAGAGGTTCACACAAGGAAGAAGATGCTGTTAGGAACTCTTCTTGCCTTCTTCCCCTCTCAGGGTCTGTTGCCCCTATAGCACTGAGAAAATCCCTATGGAAAATCCAGTTATGCTCTGCATGTGTGTCTGTGGAGTGAAACAAACTGATGCTATATTGGGAAAGTCAAATTTGTACCAGTCAGATGGTGAAGCTGCTCCTGTCTGCTGAATCAGTATGAGCTTGGGCACTTTTGTAGTTGTGAGAGTCACCCAGGTCCAAACTTAAATGTGAGGGGTTACAAAGATCTTTTGTGTCTCATTGGGCTGCAAATACTCAAAAATAATCCGGTGGTCTCAGGCACACAAGTGCTTTGAAATAAGGATCTGGTATGCTTAGAGACCTGTGTGGCAGGCCTAATCAAGTATTTTATTGTTTGTTTTTTTTAATGACAGACAGGGAATCTAGTTTTAAACCCCGTTTTGGAGGCCTGTCAGGGCTTGGGGTATAGCATGGGGTGTCTCATGTGTCAGCCCTGGCACCTCCCTGCAATTTTCCCAATTTTACCTATTTTTCTCCCCTACCACTGCAATCTCTAGGGATAAATTTGAGTAGTGGGATGGGCAGAAAGGGTGGAATTTCATTTCTCAGGAAGAAATTAAGTGGTATGCAGGAATGTAGCTGCTCTTTAGGTCTGCCCTTTTCATTTTGAGGACACCAGAGCAGTGGCTGTTCCCATGCAGTGATGTGCCCTCATTGGCAGGGTGGTCAGCGAGAGGAATTGTGCTGAAAGGTCCCAAGGTCAGTTACAAGCATGTGAAAAGCACTGTTATATTAACTGCTGGATGGGGAGCATTGCTTCCACTAGCACAGCTGGCTGCACTGTGAAATTTGATGGATCTCCTGTTGGAGAGAAGAGCAGTCTGGAGTTTCTCTGCCATCAGGTGCACCCGTCTGAGGTGGCCCAAAATGCCAGAATAGGTGCCTTGGTCTTGGTGTGCGAGCAGCAGGGATTGCCCAGGGCAGTGATGACACTGACCTCGGGTCTCCCTGCCATGGCTGGGCTCATTTTCTCCACCTTGCAGGCTGGGCACTGGGTGAACTGCCCCACCAGTTCCTCAGTGGCTGCTCCAGGCTCTGTTTACATTTGGGTTATTCTTTTTTTCAGCCGTGCACACCACTGAGAGCCCTGCTCTGCTGCTGATCTCAGGGGCCAAGCATTGCTGATTGCTGATTGCTGGTGGGGTTTGGGCTCACATCTGGCTTTGAGCCATCACATTCTCAGTGACCATCCACACATGACGTGCAGTGTGTCCACATGTAGTGTGCCTGTGGTTTTCTTTGTTTACGGGAAACTGGGAGAGGGAACTTCAGAAAAAAACCTTTACATGCTTTGCAAAGCAAAACATGATTGCACAGTTCCAGTTGCCCTGCTGCAGCTTCTCCATTTCAGCCTGGAACAAGTCCCATGGGAAAGCAGGGAACTCGGATCAATGCCCAAATGCTGTGTGTGGATGCTCTGTACCCCTCTCACTGCTGAGAGGCCTGCCCTCCACTCCAGCTGCTGACCCCCTGCCCTGTCCTGTCCCTGTCCCTGCAGGAGCCATTTTATGCTGGCACCAAGGCAGCTGGACACCCTGCTGGAGCAGCCCCTGAAGAGTGCCAGGGTGCACTGGGAGGAGACGTCACATACCAGCAGGTGTGGTTTGGGGAGCTCAAGGGGGCTGTTCACTGCATGTTTGCCTGCACCCATGGGATGCCCTGCACCCTGTTTCTGCTTGGGGGGCTGCTGTCGAAATAGCCATAGCTGGACCAAGCTCTGGGCATTAACTTGGGTTTGGAAAGGGTACCCCAAAAAGACAGTCCTGCCATGCAAGGTGTGGGGGGATACTCAGCTGTGCCCATACTTGTCCCTTTCCACTTGGAGCTGCAGTCTCCTAACATCCAAGTAATATTGAGTGGTCTTTCCTCTGCAAGGGCAAGGGCTGTCAAGGGACCCTGAAAGGGATCAGGCAGAGGACTGCCAGCAAGGGGGAAGACTCTGAAAATGAAGACAGTGATGAGAATGAGGAAGAAGAGGAGGAAGAAGAGGAAGAAGTAGATGAGAATGAGAATGGTGTCAATGGCACAAGCACAAATACCACAGAGGGTATTGGACCTAATGGCAATGGCACTGTGGTGGCTGAGGAGGGCACTGGTGAAGCTGAGGAAGAGGAGGAAGAGGAGGAAGAAGAAGAAGAGGAAGAGGAGGAGGAGGAGGAGAAGGAGGAAACTGAAGCCACCACCATTGCAAGCTCCACCAACAAAGAGGGTCTGACCCAGGCAACCACTATGGATGACGGGGGACCCACAGATGTCACCACAGATGCCACCACAGCTGGGGAGCTGTGGGAGTACGATGTAACAGCCAGGGACAACAACCGATGGGATGCGGGCACCACCGAGGGTGGGTACGAGGAACAGGATGAATATGCACGTGGGGACAGCTACCGGGCCTACGAGGATGAGTACGGCTACTACAAAGGGCATGGATATGATGTGTATGGCCAGGATTACTACTACAGCCAGTAAACAGGGGGGAAAACCCTGGTGCTCTCCCTGCCTGCCCCAGCTACTCAGGAAGGTGCATCCAAAGGCTCCCTGGAGCCACTGCATGCCAGAGGGGATGCCAGGCAGCTTGCCATATGCACTGGCTCCATCCCAGGGTTTTTTGTTTTTTTGGGGTTTTTTTGTTTGTTTTGTTTTTTGGGTCTTTTTTGGTATCTTGCAAAGTGAAATGAAATTAAATAAAGCAACTAAAGTGAGCTTGTTGGTGACAAAAGGTTTGGTGCCAAATTTTCTGGGGTCAGTAGGGCAGCACAGCGCCTGGTGAGGGGCTGAGTGGCTACGGTTGCCCATGATGCTTAGGGCTGAATCTTGTTATTCCAGCTCAGATGCACATGAAAGGAGGGAGGAACAGCAAGGTTAACTTGGAAAGCCTCTGTAGAGTCCCCTCTGAAAAATTAAAGGGTGCTCTTAGGGACACTGCTGTGGGATTGCAGCCACATTTTATGTAAAGTTCATGTGAATTTCCAGTATGTGAGCAGTGATAATTTACCACATCTTCCATTCCTTGGTAATGTGCCTGACCACACACCAGGCAATGTTAATAAGGGTAAAACCACTAATTTCTCTTTCTATGCATCACTAGCTGTAGGTGCACACCCCTGTAATAAGGGCTTTGCTTCTTCATCCCCTTCATCCCTGCACCAGGCATGTGGGTACAAGGCTGGGTAACTTGAATGTGTGTCTTCAACACCAGTACTGCAGCCCAAAATGTTCTTGTCCCACAGCCTCATTCTCAGAGCAAGGTATGGCTGTCACAGTGACAGTGGTGCATCCACTCCTCTCCTCCATTAGCAATGGGGATGCCTGGCTGGGAGTCCTCAGGATCCCTGCTCAAGGTCACTTCCCAACAGAATTGTGTCCCTGGCCAACTGGTTATCTGCATTATGGTTAGGGGTAGAACAAATCTCACTTGGTTCCAGGCAGATGACACCATATGGGAATAGTGATGACCTTCATGCACAGTACCCTGCTGTGGGTATGTATGGCAGGTACCCTACTGCTCTTGCACTCCTAGGAAGGAAACCTGAGTTCAGCTCCTGATGCAGGTCCAACTGCAGAACTAGTCTATTCCTGCAGCAGCAAGTCACTGCCATTGTACAAAACTGATCCATACGTCAAAGCCAGGCTGCAGCTTCTGGGGAGGCAGGAGATGTGTCCTGCACTGTGGGCACCCCCAGCAACAAATCCCTATGACGGCACTGGGGAGCCCTGCACGGACTCATTGCTGGTGTGGAGACACGAGAGTTCCATCATCCGCATCCCCAGGGGGTCTCCAGAGACGTCAGGGAACTGGCATGGGCAAAGGGCCCTGGCACTGCCAGGGGCCAGGTCCTGCTCCCACAGGGTGCGTAGCCCAGTCCTGTGTGCGTCAGCCCTCCAGGTATCTGGCAAAGGCTCACCTCCAGGAGCCAAGGCTGCCCTGTGGGGTGGCTTCTGACTGCCACTCCCTGGCTGGTGAGAAAGGGTCAGTTTCCTGCCGGCTGCAAGATCTACTCCTGCTTGAGGCTGGATGCTGATGGTTTAAGTGTATCTGGTGATAATGCAGCAGTCATGCCAGCTCCCAGGGTTTGGGTTAGGGCAGAGTAGGGAGTGGGATGGGAGCTGCTGTCACCACCACCACAGTGAGTGCCTGAGCCAGGCTGGCCACAGCAGTGGGAATCCTTCTTGGCCAGGGTGTAGGTGACCAGTAGTGCCACCAAAAGTAGAGGTGGGGAGAAGGGGAGTTTGTACATCGTGCACACCCTTGCAGCACTTCTTCATAATGAAATTTGGCTCAAAGGGATCTGTGCAAGCAGTGCATGGAAAAACATACATGAGGTTTTTTTGCTTTTTTGCCACTCTTCTATTTTGCAATTGCACAGACTTAGCTCAGAGGGTTGAGGTTGAACCCCAGAAAGCAAGTGTCAGAAGACACAGCATAATGGTGGCTCTCAGCTTGGCCAACTCTGCCCTTCTGTGCCAAAGGGCCAGAACCAGGCCTGGCTCTGGATATTGCCCTTCTGTTTCTGCCAGCTTTCCCCTGTTGGTCACAGTAAGCAAGCCAAGACCCACTGTATGCTCTTATCAATAACCAAGCTGGACATGTGCCACACTAAGATCTGTGCTAATCATCGGGCAATTTTGCCTTCAGAACAGATATTTATAAACTTTGCTTTCTGTTTATCCAGCCAGGTGGAACATTTGATAGCTGTCTTTTACCACAAACACATTTTTAGCTGGAAATTACTCCCCCTGGTTATCTGCGGGTGCTGCCAGAGCTGACAAATGTCCCTGGGCAGGAGCTGATTGGCTCTGTGCACCCGGGGCCAACTTTAAATTTCAGTAAAGTGGGCACAGGCTCCACAGGGACCTGCCTCTGACGAGAAAAGGTAATCTTCTTACCCAGCTTCCTGCCCTGTCTCTTCCTAGCCCTTCAGCTCTGCTGTCCCTGAGTGGGGATTCTGCTTTCACTCTGGGCAAGCCAAAGTGGGGATGGGGACATCCTGATCCTTGGCTGTGAACATCTCTTGAGCTTACATTGCTTTGCACTGCTGATCCTTGTGCATGGATTTCCTTCTGCTGTTTCCTGTAGCACTGCTGGTACGGCTGAAAACAGTCTCTGGGATGGACCTCCAAGGCCAAGCAAGGGTGGTTGGGTGAAATGAGAATTATTGGGCAATGGAGATATTGCCTCCTGCCATTTATGAGTGCTGTGAAATCCTGCTGCTTTCTTAATTCAAATTTATGAACATCTTAGCTTGCAGCAACTTTGGGGGATCATTTATCGAAAATATCTATCCAAGCTGCTTTGACAGAGGGAGTTAGGAAGTTTTAATAGCCGGTGGCAGAGCACCCACTCAGAGCTGCTGGCTGTGCCCTGTGCACATAGTCCTTCTTCAGAGGAATGCAGAGAGGCAGGACAATGCCAAGGGCCGCCTCAAAGCCTGGGAAAAGCCGGGATCACTGGAAAACCCTGCTGCCATGGGAGCTTTGGGATAGCGGGAGCTTTTAGGTTGCTGCTAACCAGAATTATTGAGGACCACGAGTCCCAGGAAGACAACACAGCAATGCTTCACTTTGTGCTTCCAGGAGCAGCCCAAGATGCAAGCATCCCTCGTCTGCCTGTGCCTATGCCTGCTCAGCACAGCCCTTGCCACACCTGTGAGTATGGCTTTTCCTGGGTTCCCAGCATACTGCTGCAAGTGTGGGATGTACTATCTGGTCCACCCCAGAATGCTTTCAGCAGAGGGAAAACATGGGTTGTAGTTGTGTACACCACCTCTGGTGCTTGGGGAGGGCATTAAGGCAAACAGCAGAGGTGAGCCCAGAAGGAAAAATATATGTTAGCACTGAGGTGGCTGAGCATGTCCCTTCAGTTTAGCAATCAGGGCACTGCATAAGTGTCCGTCTGGGTGGCTGTACCTCCTCCCCTGGATTTCCGTGGGTCTGGGATCTGGCCAGTGCTTTTGGCTTGCAAATAGCCTGAGCCAAGCCACAGGAAGGGGCTTCCCACAAGTGTGGGAAGGATGCTCATCTTACCTGTGGGGGGAACAGCGGTCAGAGGGGTGCCTGCAATTATTTTCCAGCTCTCCTAATGTGAAATTTTGAGAGATGTAACTAAAAACACAGCAATCTACGATGAATATAATAGCAGCCATTTTTGTCCTGCAAAACTGTTGCTCAGTGTACTAAATACACAGCTAGAGTGAAAGTTTCCTAGAAAAGGTTTGCTTTTTTTGTCAGGGTAAGGAGGAGGGAAATCCTGTCTTCCCTGAGCAATGGGCCTGGTCCCCTCTCATATGTCTTTTACCCCCCCAGAGCAAGCTCTCACAACCCAGTCTGTAGCAGGGCAGCCCAGGGGAAGGCAATAAATCAGCACAGATTTGCTTTTCAGATAGGGGCACAGAAGGGAGCTAATACTGTGCTGTGTAACCAGAGCTGTAATCCGGCCTTTGATACTGTTCACAAACAATGAAACAACCTGGGAATATTCAATACTTTGGGGTGTGAAGGCTGCTCCTTCAGCTGGGCTTGGGATATTTCAGTGACTAATTTTGCTGAAATCAAAGAGGACTCACCTCCATGGGGCTGTCTCTCACTCTGGCACATAGGGAATGCCTGCAATGGCTTTGTGGGGCTCACAGGATGCTTCCACCAGAAGGTCCCCCAACCCTGAGGGATGCACTTACCAATACCCACCAAAAGATGCCAGGATAATCAGGGAGAGCTGGAAGCCTGCAAGCATGTACAGAAACCTGTCCGTGAGGACATGGAGGTTGCTGGTCAGTAGCATAGTAAACACTGGGGAACTCCACCAGTTAACCAGTTCCAGACTCCAATCACAGAAAAATCCAAGCAGTAAGATGAAGCATTATTTTGTGAGCAATGGTACTGTATATAAAAAAATGCTCTGCCATAAAATCCTCTGCAGCAGTCTCCAGGAAAAGGTTATGTGCAGACCTAGAAATCTAGCATGCAATACAATCATGCTGTAGCAAAATTCACAACACTTTTTGGACCCTGGAAATGGGGATTTGGCCTTTTCTACTACTCCTGTCTTTAAGTCAGTATCCCAGGTAGTGCCTGGGAATTTATTGGCTTATCAGTGCAGTTTTCCCACCCTTCCCTGAACATTGGGCAGGGTGGGTGGCCAGCAGTGGGCACTGGCACCTGCCTGGATGCTGGGGCACTGTTTGATGCCTCAGCTCTTGCCTGTGTTTTGCTATCCACAGGTGCCACCACCGCTGCCAGGGAGAGCTGCTGGGAACTGTGTGGGACAGCACCGGGTATGTATCCCTCTGCCACTTCCTGGAGCCTCAGTGGATACTGGAGGGACCCTACTGCAGTGCCAGACACAGAAAGGGAAACTCCTGCCAATGCAATTAATAAGAAAGTTGTGGGTTTTGGTTATTTTTTTCCCTACCAGATACTTCTGAAGGGCTGCAACGCCAAGCATGGCTTCTACATTTTCAAATATGTCTACTCATTCTCAACGCGGAGGAACGAGACACAGATAAAGGTGAGGAGGTGGCCAGGGGACACTGCAGGACCCTGGCCTGGCTGTGGTGTCCCCAGCAGCCATCCATCATCCTGACTTCTTCCTTGTGTGTACTGCACAGAAAGAAGAGGCTGACCACCAGAATATCATCCCCAGCCACCGGGTGGATGAGGACAATGCCAGGCAGGAGCCACCAGAGGCTGGGACAGCTCCAGAGAACAGTGACAACAGCAGCACTGAAGTAATCGAGTATGGGATTGTCCTCAAGCCTGAAAACCGCAGCACCCCAGGCATCAGCAGGGATGGTCCCAGCACTCGCCCTGGCACTGGCACACGAGTGCGTGGCAGTGGCGGTGGCATGGGTCCCACCCCATCCAGCTCAGAAGGCAGCGGCGATCTGGATCTGGTGGTGGAAGTTGATGGCGGTGTTCCCATTCTTCCTCAGGGTGAACACCCCAGTGGGGTTGTGGTGGAGAATAGGTCCAGTGTCAGGAGTGAGGATAAGAATAACGGTGCCCTCAGGGTGGTTCCAGTGGAGGAAGCCGTGACTGCTGGGAGGTGGAGGGCTCCTACCACCAGAGGGGCAGGGGATGAGGGCAGCAGGGAGGCCACTGTCTCTGGCCAAGGGCAGGAGGGTGTTAAGCAGGGTACAGGGACAGGAGGCATCACTTCGTCCTCTGTCACTGAGAGGATGGAGGATGTCCAAGTGGATGCTGCAGGTGTGGATCAATACGCTTACGTCCCCGATTCAGGCAGTGTCACCATCACCCATGGGAGCCTGGGCAGCACAGACAGGGCCATCGGCTTCACCCAGGTCTCTCCAGACAAGGATGATGAGGTCAACATCTTCATTGGGAGGGCCAACATCCATGTGGGGGAGCAGGAAATCACCCAGGCTGGTGTCACAGTGGGTAGTGAGGATGACGGCACCCCCTCTGTGGGAACCAGAAGCCCCCTCCCCAGGCTGGACATTACTGCAGCACCCAGTGGTGGTGAAGATGACAGCATCCCTGCCCACAGGCAGCCTGAAAGACTGGCCACCACAGCCATCCCAACCCGTGGGGACAGTGTCACCAGCAGCCTCAGGGATGGCCGTCTCAATGGAGAGGATGAAGAAGGTGCAACCACCATTGGTGTTGATAGAGGACTGGTAACCCCTGCCCCCTGGAGAGTCACTAGTGGTGACATTACCAGCCCCACAGTGGCCAGCATCCATACAAAAGATGATGATGAGGTAAGAGGTGAGGGGCAGAGGTCCAAGGGGAAGCCAGACCGTGTGGCTACCACAACCCCCCGCCAGTGGGGTGACATGGAGACTGCTGCCACTGTCTCAGCCAAGAGGGTCAGCATCCGCCCGGCCACTACTGAGGAGGACCGCACCACCCAGTCGGTGACAGCCAGCAGCCACAAGGCAGGCACGAGCACTGTGCCGGGCAGAGGAGGGAGTGGGGAGGTGGGGACAGCCACCTCCCGACTCCCCCGTGTGGAGGCACGGCCCGGGGCAGGGATGAGGGTCCGTCCAGGGGGAGCGGGGCTGGACAAGACACCCAGGATGGACAAAGCACCATCCCCAAGTGGGAAACCCAGCAGCTGGGCATCAAGCGGGACCCAGAGAAGTTCTGGCAGCTATGATGGTGATGCTGGGGGCAGGTCGCATGCCACCAAAGCAGGGCCCAGCCCCACTCCACAGGCAGGGCAAGACACAGGCAGCATGACAGCAGGCAAGGGCCGGGAACAGGGGCAAGGCGGAGAGAGCAGGACAGCAGTGCCGGGGGCCAGGAGCGGCCACCTGCCTGGGCAGCATGGTAGGAGGCTGGGGTCTGGGACGCCGGGCACCATTGCGACGCTAGGCCGCAGCCGGCAGTTGGACCAGGTGAAACGGGCTGACGAGCTCCACGTCCGTGAGCGGGCCTTTTACAGCCTCGGCGGGGCGGGCGGCGGCCCCCATGGCCCCTACCCCGGCCTCGGGAGCACCGACAGCAGCCAGTCCTCCGAGGGGGACCGGGGCAGCCACAGCGAGAGCGGACAGATGGGACTGCAGCCCTCAGGGTGGGGATCCCCAGGGTACCCCCAAGGCCGCTGGATGCAGGGGCCCCTCTGAGGTGCGGCCGGTATCCACCCTGGCAGGCTCCAGCGGTGGAGCTGGGGGGTCCCACACGTCGCGTTTTCCCCCTTGGCATCCCTGCTGCAGGCTCTGCTCTTGAGTGGGTGAGGGGCAGGTTGCTGGGGGGCACACAGTGCTTCAAAGCCCAGGAGCCAAAAATCACTGGTTCATGCAATCTGCTGTTAATCTGGGGGAAGCTGGGCATGGCAGAGCAGGAATGCACGGGCATGCTGTGCTAGACAGCCAGGGAACAGCAGCCATGCTACACAGCGTAGGGTAGTGGTGTTTGTACATTGATGTGAAGCAAGTAAATAAGCAGTGAGAAAAAAAAGCCTGTGTCCTTGCAGTTTCCCTTCCAGCCTACTGGAGAAATAAAGGCATTTCTGTACCTGAGGATCTGCTGACTCTGGTGTTTGCTATGGGACTTGAGGCAGTCACTCTGCCACAGTGTGCTGGGGGTGGGCTGGTCCTTGGGCATAAGGGGATTTCTGGCCCCAGCACATCCCTGGCCATGCCATCTCCTGTGGGACTGCAATTCGGCTAACAAGCCCCCCACATCCCTCCCTTGGGCTATCAAACGCTGCCCATCGCCACCAGCCTCCCTGGGCTTGCTAGGGAGGCCTACAGAACATCCTCCCCCTTGGTTCATCCGCCTCCCCCTGCAAGAAATCCCCATCGTGCCTTCTTGATGGTACATTTCCTGGCCACACTGTCCTTCCAGGAGCACCATAACACTCTGGCTGTGCCACCACCATTCCTGCCACTGGCCCCCGCACACTGGCCTGGCTAGGCTTCAATACACTGGAGCCATGCTGTCAGTGGTGCCCAAAGTTAATCACTGTTTATGCAATTGCAGGTTGCTTTTTCTGTCTGAGAAGCTGCTAAACAGATGCTAAAACAGGCGTGTTCAGCCTGCCAGAGCGAATGGCACAGTGGAAGAGGCATCAAGCCTCAAGGGGAGATATATTGCCTCAGCACATACTGAGGGGACTCACCACCAGAGCTGTGCCCATGCAGGGGGCAGGTGGGAGCAGCCAGGAGCAGCCACAATGTCAGTGAAGTAACCACAGAGTGCCTGCTTCCTCTGCACACCTGCACGCAGGGAAGTGGCAGATCCTGTTATGGGACACAGAATCACAGGATGGTTTGGGTTGGAAGGGACAGTCTAGTTCCAACTCCCCTGACACGAGCAGGGATGCCACCCTCTAGACCAGGTTGCTCAAAGTCCCATCCAACCTGGACTTGAATGCTTCCAGGGATGGAACATTCATAGCTTCTTGCAGCAACTTGGTACTTAAGGATCATACATGGTTGATTTATACTGGAACACCAAGACACTGTGTGTCTCACTGGCGCTATCAATTACCACCAGCTCTCAGGACTCTGCTTTGCTACTGCTCATGCTCTCCAGCAGAAAAAGTCAAAAACTGCATGTGCCCACCATGCCCCCACCAGGACATTAGGCTCTGGTGTCTCCCGGGAAGCTGCTCTATTTGGCTTGGTCACAGTGTTGCAGAGACATGGAGATTTAGGCAGCCTGTGGCAAGGATTTGCCTGCAGCTTCCCATGCTCAGGGCAGCAAGCAGAAGACTCCCAAGGGCTCCTGTGCTGGCCCATCCAGCTCAGACTAAAAGGGGTTGCAGGGCTGCTGCCAGTCTGGGCTGGATGACTCACCCCTAGAACTGCCACAGCACATCAAACCCCCAGATTTATGGACTATGACGATGCTTTGAGGATCTAGGGCTCGGCATGACTGCCTGGCAAATGAAGTGGGTGGTTTTGGGGTCTCACCACTGGCAGGGTTAGAACTGAGAAGTTTGCAGCTTTTCCATCCTCAATCCTGACCACACCCTTGTCCAAAGGATTAAGCAACATCCTTAAGCAAGAGGTGGACACCATCTAGTGGAATAACAAGCCTATTGCTGGGAATGTTTTGTGCCTGTTGAGTGATGCCCAGCTATGCCTGATGCTGGCATGGGCACTGCTGCCGTCTTGTCCCACTGCTTCCCCAAGGTCCTGCAGAGCTCTGCCTGAATGGCGAGGCCAGGTATAAAACTAGCTAGTTTATAATGCCATTATTATAAATTGTATATGTATATATATATAAATTATAAATGCCATACATTTGTAAACCAGCATTACCTCCTTGCACAGTTGCTGCTAAAGCACCTGGAATTTTTGTGCTGTGACTCTGGCTCTACATCTGGGAGAATACAGTATTTTGGTATGCTCACCCTGAAACCCCTGCTCAGTACCACAATGTTGCCTGGCCCTGCTCTTTCTAAACACACCTGCCAAATAGCACAAGTGGCCACTAAACATAAAAAATGCAAGTTTCCCTAGGAAAGGGTTTTCCCTGAGTATTGGAGCAAAGTGGGGAGCTGTTTTTTCCTTGCAGTGAAGGGTGAGCAGATGAGGGCTGGCAGGGTCGGGGTTGGCAAGGTGACACTGCCCACCCTTCATGCTGTTGCTGAAGTGATTTAGGGTCTTTCATCCCACCCTGTAAGAGTGTGAACCCAAGTCAAGAATGATATGTACTTTCTGAGGGTACAGAACAAAAAATAAATCATCTCTAAAAATCCCAGCTACTCTTATGAATGCTAATTGTGTTAATGTGGTCAGGCAAATACGGGTACACACTGCTGCTTCAGGCCAGCAAGGCTGCAAAGAACCTCTAAAATGCTTTTTGAAAGAAGTCTAAAAACCAATGATGTACTTTGGGGAACCATTCAAACAGAGTTTTGAACTGTATGTTTTCAGCTACAGAGCTCAGTGCTGGCTGTATGAACGGGGCAGGTGGTGCCCATCACAAATAGCTCTTCTCAGATGGCTTCTTCTTGGCTGTGGGGTGGCAATGGGCACTGCCTGGTGAGACAAGGGTGCCTTCCCCATTGTAACACCATGGTTTTTCAGAAGAGGGCAAAAGCAGACAGCCAGAGGGAGCAGCTGAAAGCAGAACCTCTCAAAAGAGAAGGAGCTACAGCACAATAACAATTTTCCTCCTCAACTGCTGTAGTTACTCATCTTCATCCCATGCCAAAGACTAGGTACTGAGAGGGACTGAAATACTGTGCACACCCCCAGAAAACCCTTCCTCCCAGTGCTCAGCCTCCCTGCTCCTAAGCTGGCAGCCAAGGCTGGGCAACTGCAGGGGGTCTGAGCACATCCAGGTTTTTGGAGGATGGAAGATGCCCCAAAGCCTCCATCCTTTGCCAAGAGACATACTCATTGCCATTGAGGAAGGTGTAAAGGAGTCCCAGCAATAAGAAACCTGGGATTTATTTCTGCAGAACAAGCCACACAGTACTGCCTATCATCAGGGGGGTTCAAAAATGTTTTTAGTTATTCTGAACAGTCTCTGATAGACCATCCACCAGCACTTCCCTGTAAACATTTTGGGAAACATACTCTGAAGTTACAACCATTGCTGTAGTCAAGTAAAGGCACATTTTGACACATGGAGTAAAATGCAGATCTCAGTGACACTGGTAAAAAAATATTATTAGCCAATATTATAATCTGTTTGGGGTCTCTTTTGGTAATCCTTGCCTATTTCCCTGCATCCTCATGGTGGCTTTAGAGGGACTGGTCTTCAAGGTTTCTTTGGGGAGCAATTGCCTTGCAGCTGGATACTTTGTTAAACAACATCCTATACTACATTCACACTTAGATTACTTTATGGGTCTTGTTCTGATCATCAGGGTATCCCTGATTTGGAAGATTACAGAGCTAACAATCCCTGAACTGTGGGTTTCTCACTTCCTGAGGTTCTTGGAAAAAAAGCTTCTCCTGCCAAAAAATCCTGGCAAACCGTAGCCATTGTGTGAAAATCCCAGTGCTGTTCCTCCAGGTGATTAATACACCAAGCCAGTTAATCTGGGTTCAGTTTAGGCTGTTGGCTATAATTAATCTTTTAAGTTTGAGAAGTTGGTAGATACAAACTTCTTCTGTTATGAAATAGAATGGCAGGGGTTGTTTCAGAGATCTTACACCTTGCGTCAAAGCTGGCCTGCATGGGTAGAGATAAAATAGGTATGTGGCCTTTTCAGCTTCCCGGTAATGTGCAGAGAAGGGGCAGGAATTTTATCTCTCTCCCACTACCAAGTGATGAATATTTTCAGTAGTAGCATTAATTTAAAAGTGTTGGGCCTTACAATGAAGTCTTCCAGTCCCCTGCTGCCATCATCCAGCAGTGATGAGGAAGATCAAGCCTGACAGACTTCAAATGTTTGATTTACTAAAAGCTGACCCTCCTTTTCCTCAGTGCTCCGTTTTCCCTTATCCCTGTTGACACATTCCTACAAAAAGCCATCCAGTCCCACCCCAAAATACAAGTAGAGCTGAGCCCACTCAGCCAACCTCAGCTGTACCTGTAGAGTGAGCAAACAGGCTCCCTGCTGTAACACATGGGATGTTTTATACACCAGTAAATCCACTTGTGCTTCACTTCAGTTTAAATACTCCTGCCTTCCAAAAATATAGTGTCTAAAGGGCAGAGTTTTAGATAATAAAAATCCTAAAGGAGATTTAATGCTTGAAATAAAAATGCTAAGGTGCTAGAGCAATTCCAAATACTTATTTAATATATTAATAAGTACCTCATGCCAGGCACCAAATACGAGAAATGAAGGATGTGAGTATGATGACCAAAATCAGCCTTCGCTTCAATTTCAAGACACAGGACTGAGAAAAATGGGGAAGTCATCCCCATCCATCTTTAAACACTCAACACTTTGCCAGTTACCCAATAGCAACAGTTGTATCAACAGAGAAAATGCTTTAAGAAATTATTCTCATCATGTAGAGTGTGAGCTGAAAATATCCATATGCTATCCACAGCAATGGATGAATTTTCACCATCCTCCCCACACCCAAGAGCACCCACAGGACCAGATGCTGAGGACCATCCCTGTATCCAGCAGGGCTGGGATGGGTTTGCTGCTGCTCTCAGGAGCACCAGCCAAACCCTTTGAATGCAGGTCCAGTGGCAGACTGGCTGGAAGAAAAACTGAATGTTAATTTCACTTTCCTTGCTGTGTTACCTTTCACAGCAGAGCAGGGCTTCAAGGGGAAGGTGCTGTCCCCAAGAGCAGAGCAAATCCCCCAATCTTCTTGTGAAATTCTCATCAGAGGAGTAGTTGAAAACCTGAAAGACTCAAGACTTCAGAGATTTTAAATAAGAATCAAAACTGTTAGCATTTCACCAGTTTAGAAAAAACCCAACCCAACACCAAAAATCTCTTCATTTAATTTTCACTTCTATTTATTAGGGATTAAAGTTAAAACAGTCTCATGAGAGTTTTCAGCCACAGGCTAAAAAACATGAAGCAGAAGAGAAGCTGTGGGTGCCCTGTCCCTGGAAGGCCAGGCTGGTCAGGGTCCTGCACACTTTGATGTGGTGGATGGCTTCCCTGCCCATGGCAGGAGGTTGGAAGCAGCTGATGTTTAAGGTCCCTTCCACGCCAAAGCATTCTGGGACACCAGGGGGGTGCAAAAGAGGGCTTCTGCTACGGTTAATGGAATGTTGCCACAGCTAAACTGTTACCACAAGGCTTCCATCCCAGGGTGCCAGGTGACCTGGGGTCCGTTAAGCCAGTTGATGGATCCTCTGCTGGGAAGCAGACGCAAAGTGTCCAGCTCCTCTGCATCGTGTCCATCTTCTCCATCCCTGGTGGGAACAGAAGGTGATTTGCTGACATTTATGAAGAAAATCCTTGACTGACTACACGTAATCTACATGTAAGTGTAGATTATTTTTGAAAAGGTTTCTGATGCTGAGGGGCTGTTCTGGGCTTCTGGCTCAGCTGCAGGTGTCTGAGGCTCCAGTACTGAACTTGTATAGAAACTGGTGACTCAGGGATGGGAATCCTGATGCAGGGGTGGTATTTAAGAGAACAGGTATTCCATACAGGTAATCTCCTCTCTTTTTTTCTGGTAGCTTTGGAAGAACATCGTTCTCTGACCCCTAGAAGTCAGGATTTTGTAGCAGTGTGCTACCTAAAGGAATCTAAGGGATCAGACGCTGTAGATTCTCTGACATTCCTTCTCTGGTGCCTGTCCCACTTTCTCTTCCAGTGGTTTTAGATCACAAAACACCATGAGCACAGTGAGTACTTTACTACTCAATGCAAATCTGATTCCTAAAACACATTGTCTAGGGACTTCCAGAAAGCATTTAAAGAGTTTGTAGCAAATGCATGGGAACAGAAACCTATTAAGACTTCATGTAACTTCATGTTTTGGGAGACGGAAAATTTTTAATTTCTCTGAGTGCTAGCAGTAGCTCAAAATGCTTACAATGTGAACAATTGTGGATGCAAAAAGAAAGCAAGGAACAGAGCCTGTGTGAAACCAAGTCACACAGGCTTCTCACTCTGGCCTGAGAAAGCATAAAAAAGAATCCAAACAGTCCTTGGTAAAGGACAGCAATCTTTGTAGGTGTTGTTTAGGAAAAGAGTCAAGTGGTGGTGTTCCACTTAACCAGTGATGGTGATGTGTTGCTTTAATGACCAGTGAGAGTTTTACCTCTCAGACCTTCTTGAACATGTGTTTAAAAGAAGATTAAGAGTAATAAACATTGCTCTCTTGGACAATGCAGCTGAGAGAGTCATGTCGTACTGCATCGCCATTTCCAATTTAGTGCGACAAGCACTACCTGATAAAATTGTGAGGTAGTCTCCTCATCTTCAAGCCTTTGGGATAGGCTTTTTCTTGGAGATAAGGGAGATTCCTTTTTCCTTGATGCCGTGTGCTCAGGGAGGAATGACCCATAGCACCGTATGATGCATATTCCAGCCTTTGCATGAGTGTTTTCTGTACCTTTGTGCTTTCATTGGTGTTGCAAAAATGGGGGCCATGTTACCCTTACTCTCACAGAAAATACTAAGGCTTTGCTCCCTCTTAGAATCAGCTAAAGCGCCGTGGAGAAGCAGATGATTCTGGTCAAACTCAGAAACGGAGCAGGCTGATCGCTCCTAGGAGAGCTGGAGCTTCAGAGCCAAAGCCAGACTTCAAAGAAAGTGGTACACTTTCTTTTGAACTTGGTAAGGACATAAACTGCTTCTGAAGGTCGGGGGTCCAGCCAGATGTGTGCATTTGCCAGTCTCTAGGCCTTTTAGCGGGGAGGAGGGGAAACCTGAGATTTTAGGAAGCCCCTAGTATGCCACCTGTAAACAGCAAGGCTCCTCACAAGCACGTGGGTTTGTTGGTGATCTGTGATACATTTGCACTAGTGGGAGATGAACTGTGTAACAAAGGTCCAAGTGCTGCTGGAACACCTGAATGTCTACTCTGAGCAGCTGGCAGTTGCCCCAGCTGCCACTGCACAGGGTGGCAAACTAAGTTTGGGATCTCCCAACTGGGAAGCAGATAAAGAAGATTTGTCATTAGCTGTGCCCCATCCCTCTAAGGAACAGTACAGCATAGTAATCTAAAATCAGGATCCCTACTGTGATTCCAGCTTTGGTTTGGGTTTGTTTGCTTTTTTTCCCTGTATGATATTCCCCTATGTTTAATGAATCTTACATTGGTGTGTACCTTCCTCAAGCTGCTGTTATTCAACAGAACTGTATGAGGAGTTCAGCCACTCTTTCTTGCAGAGGATAGGGCTGGCAGTCTCCTGTGGACGGTTGAGAGCAAAGCTGGAGTGAAATGTTCACATTCCTGAAAAGAAGAGATCCAGGGCACAGATCAATACTATCTCAGCCTGTTCCTCTGGGGCTACCCATTTCATTCCTCTGCAATTTCTGGTATTGATTCTAACATTCTGGTTTTCAGCTGGTGAGGAATTCATAGGTGTCACTGCTGACTCTTCTGACTCTGAAGACATCAATCTAATTGTCAGTGACTCTGGCAGTGTTGTGGTAAGTAGTGAATTACATGCTTCTCTCCATCTCACAGCTAAATTAGTTTTCTCTTGTGCTGCCAGGCCTGTCTTCTGGCATCTAAATGTTCAGTCTGACATTCAGGGCTGAAACACAGCTCTGATTTACCTACTTTAGACAGAGCTCCCAGTTAACCCCAAATGCACCTGTGAATGCATCAGCATCTCTGGGTATCACTTGCAGAGAGTGAAAAAGACCTTGTTGCTCCAAAACTTGGGGAGAATGTTTACTAATCATAGGCAATTGAAGGAGCCAATTTAAAGCTGAAGCTGTACTAGGGCTACCCAAGATAAAGGCCAGTGATTTAAAGAAAAAGTAAAGAAGAGGACAGGAAGCCTTTGACTTCCCAAATATGAAGTGTTTAGCTGCAACATTGGTTTGAGGTACTCCTGTCACTTAAGTACCAAGCACACCTGGGTACTGGCTGGGGTACAAATTGTTTATTATTCCAAGAAGTATTTAAAGTTTATTAATTCAGTTCTATTTATTACTCCAAGAAGAATCTGCAAAGATCCAGCCCATAGGGTAGTTTATCCCCTGAGTTTTGGGATGCCACTTCTGCTGTGCAAAGCAGAAACACGCAGCAGTGAAGTTGAAAAGGCCTTGAACTTTATGTAAGAATCTACATGTCCCAACTCCAATTCTGCAAAATTAAGAATGGGTTTGGGGTTGGATTTTTTTCTTCAGGAGCTGTTCATCTCATACAGAGACTTAATGGCTATCACAGCTGAAATTGCCCATTTGTGGGAGAAGGAGGGAAAGAAACACAGTCTAATCCAATCATAAACTGAAACAAAGGAGCAGAGTAAAAGGTGTTCATATGATTACTAAGTTACCTCTGTTTTTAACCTGTTCTAGCAGTGTGAGCAAAACCAGCAGCATCCACTTGTTTCCAGAACAGAAGATGATTCAGCCATTCTACTGGCAAGTGAGAAAGATGTGGAACCAAAAGATAGTGATGGGTATGTGAGAGATAAAGTGTATCTCTCTAAAGACCAATTTCTGATATAAGGTAGAAAGAGGTTTTTGTCAAGTTTCTGGGTTCTGCTTAATTCTGTGCAAAATCTTTGGACATAGAATATAATATCCTGTCTGGAAGAGAACTAAGTAAAAAAAAAGACTAGCAAAATCCAGCAGAAACATGTCTTGTCTGTTCATTAAGTCATTAATGAATGTATCTTATATTATGGCTTGAGATGCACTGAAATGCTTTTAGTACATAAGAGTTTTCTGGAATTTTTGTGTTGGTGGGCTGGAGTGTTGCTAAATCAGAGTAGATGTTTTAATTTCTGACATTCTGTGTATCCGTAACCCTCTATGTGTGGTGAAATTAATGGCTGCAAGTTCCTCTGGTTGTGTTTTCTCTAGCGCATGGCCATCAGGTACTCTTAGTTCTCCAAACTGGATGGATGAGTACTTAGAGGTGAGGATCCATGTATTGTCATAGTTTCTGTTCTGTGGGAGGGGAATGGGGCAGAGAGGGAACTGCGCAGCTCAGCTGGCCCGTGTGGCATGCTGTGGGCAGCTGGCTCAAAGCACAGCCCTTGCTTTGGAGCTCCAAGTAGCTCATCCCTCCAAATCACTTCTTGCTGGTGAACCCTGAGGGAGAAACTGTTGCCAAGGTGGCACTGGCAGATCTGGGGGCTCCTCATTGTTCTAGCAGCTACTGACAGATTGCGGCTATTCAAGTTCTATTTGTCTGGTGCCCATAGACCAGCAAACTGGAATTCTTTCCTCCCAATTCCTGTTCTGGCTTTCTTTCTTCATCACCTCTTCACCTGATATGAAATTTTTATGGCTAACACAACTTAATTTGCCTTTTTGAGAGAAAGAGGGAAAGATTTGCCTGCAGCCTAAATCCAGATAGGGAACTGAAACAGGGGAGTAAGGAGGAGGGTTTTAACATGTTTTCTTAAACTGCTACCCTTTCTACCCACCTGCAGTGGGAGCAGAACCAGGAGTACCCACTTCTCTCCACACCAGTGGATGATTCAGTTGTTCTACTGGCCAGTGATGATGATGAAATACTGAGAGATAACAATGGGTATGTGACAGATAATGTGTCTCTCCAAAGTCTGATTTCTAACAGAGTAGCAACAGGTTTTTTGCCAAGATTTTAGGTTCTGTTTAATCCTGTGCAAAAACTTCATACCTGAAATATAGTGGCCTGTATGGAAGAAAACAGCATAAAAAACAAAACAAAACATAAAATCCATCAGAAATTTTTCTGCTCATGGAGACATTATTGGTTGTATCTTACACTATGTTTTGGGATATGTTGAAATATTTGCAGTACATAAAAGTACTTAGAATGGTCGTGTTGCTGGACTGGGCTGTTGCTGGGCTGGGATGTTGCTAGATCAGACTAGGAGATACTTAATTTCTGACATTTTTTGTATGAGTAACCCTTGTTGTGTGGTGAAAATAATGACTGTATATTTTTCTTGTTCTGTTCATTCAGGCTCTTTGGTCCCTTAGCAAGTGTGGTTTACAAGGATTGCTTCTTATGGGTAAGAATCCCTATGTCATCTTTGAATCTTCTGTGGGAGGGGAATGGGGCAGAGCGGGAACTATGGGACTTATCTGGATAATGGGCAGCTGGCTTGAAGGACAGCCTTTGCTATGAAGCTCCAATCTGCACATCCTTCCAAGCCATTTTTATTGGTGGTGTGCATCAAGGGAGAAGCACTTACCAATATAGCACTACTAGATCTTTGGGTTCTTCGTTATTTAGCAGCAATTGACAGATTGAGGATATTTCAAGTCTTCTTTGCCAGCTGCCCATAGAGGAGCAAACTGGAATTCTTTACTCCAAATCCCTGTGGAGCTTTCCTTTCCTCAGCAGCTGTTTATCTAACACCAAGTGTTTGTGACTATCACAGCTGAACTTGCCTATTTGGGGGAGAAAGAGGGGAAGAAACATTTATAGACCAAATCCAATCATGTTACTGGGGGAGCAGGATGGAGGGTGTGTAGGTGGTTCTTAAACTGCCTCTGTTTCTGCCCTGATGTAGCAGACGGAGCAAAACCAGCAGCACCCACTTGTTTCCAGAGCAGGAGATAATTCAGCCATGCTACTGGCAAGTGATGAAGAGGAAGGAAGAAACAACAATAGGTGTGTGACAGATAAAGTGTATCTCTCTAAAGTCTAATTTCTGACATAGGGTAGAAGCAGCCTTTTGACAAAGTTTGGGTTCTGCTTGATATTATGCAAAAACAGACATAGAATATAATATCCTGTCTGGAAGAGAAGTACTTTTAAAAAAAGAAATCCTAGTAAAATCCAACAGAATTTTTTTTTCTCTATTCATGAAGTCATTAATGAATATGTCTTACATAATTGCTTGAGACGCATTGAAATGCTTGCAGTACATAAGAGTTTTCTGGAATTTTTGTGTTGGTGGGCTGGGGTGTTGCTAAATCAGAGTAGATGTTTTAATTTCTGACATTCTGTGTATCTGTAACCCTCTATGTGTGGTGAAATTAATGGCTGCAAATTCCTCTGGTTGTGTTCTCTCTAGCGCATGGCCATCAGGTACTCTTAGTTCTCCAGACTGGATGGATGAGTACTTAGAGGTGAGGATCCATGTATTGTCATAGTTTCTGTTCTGTGGGAGGGGAATGGGGCAGAGAGGGAACTGCGCAGCTCAGCTGGCCCGTGTGGCATGCTGTGGGCAGCTGGCTCAAAGCACAGCCCTTGCTTTGGAGCTCCAAGTAGCTCATCCCTCCAAATCACTTCTTGCTGGTGAACCCTGAGGGAGAAACTGTTGCCAAGGTGGCACTGGCAGATCTGGGGGCTCCTCATTGTTCTAGCAGCTACTGACAGATTGCGGCTATTCAAGTTCTATTTGTCTGGTGCCCATAGACAAGCAAACTGGAATTCTTTCCTCCCAACCCCTGTTCATTTTTCTTCTTCTTCTTTACTTCAGTTCATCTAATATGAATTTTCCTGTTTGGGGAAAATTGAGGGAAAGAAACAAAATTCCATAATCCAGTTTGGAAACTGAAATGGGAGGGGGGAAGAGGGTTTTCAGGTGGTTCTGAAACTGCCTCTGTTTCTATCCTGTTCCAGCAGTGGGAAGAGAAAAATCAGCAACCTCTTATTTGTTTTCAGTCAGCAGCTCTTTAGCTACTACTTTTAATGTCCTTAACCAAAATTAGAGAGCAATAGCCAAGCATTGTTCATCTGATCTGTTGTAATTGCTTGGTTGAGCTGGTACTGGTATGTAACACCAGGGCTGCACAGAAAAGTCTAATTGTATTTTCTTTTTTCTCTCTTCACATATGCATTGATGCAAGCTTATTGAAGGTGAGTTTACATTTTAAAGTTGATAATGGAATTGTTATAAATATAACATATATAACATTTATATATATATATATAATATTTATATATATTTATATATAAAATATATATAAATATATGTAAATAAAGATATTAATAAATATACTGATACTATATTAATCTATTATATATATTAAATATATAAATACATACCATAATAATAAAACTAAATATAGTTTCTCTGTGTCCTTTCCAACCATCTTGAGCAGCAGGGATTGAAACTGCATTTAGCAAAAGGCAAAGAACAGTGCTAAAGCCTCTGGCCACTGTCTTACAGAATGGATCCCATCTGTGTCTGATAGCTGCTATCAAACACAGTGGAAAATCCCCACAACAGAAGTTGTTGCTCAATACTTATATAGGAAGGAACTTTAATTTGGTGAAATTTTCTGTAATTTTAGCTGATTAATGCTTGATAATTGTTACATGGACACAGGAGTTGCAGAGATCATTGTTGCATGTGTATTCTGAGAATTAAAAAGCAAACACCTCTTCTCACCCTTTGGGTGTTACCAGGCCATTAACAATTTGTCTCCTTTGAACTATATGTGTTATAATTTTTAAGTTACCTTAACACCATAGGACCACAGCAGATCCTGTTAGTAAGAATTGTACAAGGGAGGCTCCCTTTATAAGGCAGATTTGTTCACAAGTAGTATAACTCTGTGGAATATATGACACTGAGACTCTCTCAAGTAACAGCTCTAGCTGTTTGTAGGGTGAATAGAGCAAATGTTTTGTGTTGGTCTGTAGTGGAACAGTCACAATGTGTGGAATGGTTCAGCCTCAATATTTAGGGAAACTAGCTTGTTTAAGATTGCTTTTAACCCAGCTAGGGCCATTTCAAATAGGAACCATTACAGATAATTTATAATGATATAACTCATTTAAAGGGTAGTTCCAAGGAGAGAGAGTAAATAATAGATCTAACTTATTGAAATTAAATTACAGGGTATGAACAACAAAGAAGCCAGCAGCTGTTGGACAGCTCTGTACTGAGTGATGATGATGAAAATGAAACAACAGATAATGATGTGTCTGTGACTGATTCATCATCTGAAGAAGGGGATTCATCAGAAGATGAAACTGAAAGTTCAGAGTACGTATGCCTCATGACCTACCAGACATGGAATTTTGCCTTTTGTTTTTCATATGTTTTACTGCTATGGTCTGGCTTGCCTTTGAAACCCTCACTTACTCTACTTATCTACTTAGTTACTCTTCCAATGATGACCACATCCCATGCTGCATGATGACCAAATGATACTACTTTTACTTTAGGAGAGGGAGGCAGCCCAAGGCAGATAGAAAGCTTTGGAGGCAACCTTAAAGATGAGTTTGGGGGTATGGCAAGAGAGGGTGATTAGGCACACGCCATAGCTCACAATGCATTACATTTTCTTTTCATGCCGGACTCTAGTAGTGCTGTTAGATAAGGAAATACTTCCATTGGTATTGATGGCACAGACAATTCTGTGCAGGTTTTAATAAAGCTGGTGTGCTTTGGGTTACTGAAGGGCAGAGTAGGAGAGAACTTAATATAAAAAAGGCATAATTTTTCACTTCAATCTCAAGTTTCTCTGTCATTCACCTTCCTGCCCTGTTTAGGCAAGGCTGAAGGGCAGCATTTAACATTGAGAAAAGGGTCCTTCTTGCCAGAGCTGTTTGCAGTGTTACTCTGTAGTGTCAGGTTTGCTCCATTCTAGAACTAATAGAATTAGTAATAGAATATATACTAGTAGAATTTCCAGAGGAGAGCTTGATGCTTTAGTTACAAAGCTGTTATTGATGACCTGTTGGACATAAATGCTGCCATATAGAGACTGCCCAGTGCTGGAGGCTGCTGATACTTCAGATCCTAGAGCAGGGTGCCCAACTGCATCCTTCTCCCAGTGAAAACCAAGATCTTACTTCCTTTGGGAGACCCAGTCATTATTACATACAGCAAACTGAGAGAGTTAAGGATGTGCAGGGCTCTCCAAAGGAAATGTGCCATGGTTGCTCAGCACAGTCAGAGATTACATGACATTTTATGCACCAGTGACCCTCCATGTGTGGTGACATAAACAGCTGCATGTTCTTTCTGATTCTGTTCTCTCTAGTGCTTGGCCAGCAGGTATTATTAGGTGCCCGATCTGCATGGATTTTTACCCACAGGTAAGGACCCACCTGTCATCTTTCCAGCCCTGTGGGAGGGGAATGGGGAAGAAGGGGAGCTGCACAACCAAGCTGGCTGATGTGGGATGTTGTGGGCAGCTGATTTGAAGCACAGACCTTGCTTTGGAGCTCTAAAATTTACTTCTTGTCGGTATATGTAGAGGGAGAAACTTTTGCCAAGGAGGCACTGCCAGACCTACATGGTCCTCATTATTCAGCAGTAACTGACAGGTTGCAGATTCTTCAAGTCCTATTTGCCTGCTTCCAGTAAAGCAGCAAACTCAAATTCTTTCCTGTTGTGATTTTCTTTCTTCCAGATCATGCAAAGTGGACGACTGATTTTGTCAACACTGTGTGGCCATGTTTTCTGCAGTCAGTGCCTCCCTTTTGCCCTTCAGACTGCCAGCTTTTGCCCAACATGCAGGACAGATCTCACTCCACAACAATACCATCCCATTTATATATAAGTACTTGTATTTTTCAAGGCAGTCTCAGATGGATTGTGAGGAATAGGTGGTACAAAGACTTTTTTGTTTTTGTATATAGTTTTTGTTGTATAAGGTTCCATTTTCTCTGAATTTAATTATAAGTAATTTTTAATTGATTTAAATATAAACAAGTCTGCTCATCTATGTTGGATTCTGCTGGTAGACAGATTTCTTTTAACAGATACAAATAAAACCCTTAGTTTTATCAGTCAGAAGTGCTTGTTCTTTTCATCACACTGTAGTCATTGATTTCTGGGTGGAAATGCTGAAGGCATGAGCTTTGTAATTCTTGTGATAGTGTGTGTTTTATAGGGAAAAGGGAACAGGCACTGCTTGGGGTGTGAGGCCTTCTGTTTCTTAGGACAGACCTAGCAGGATGTTTTGCTAAAAATGTCATTATTTCAGTTCTTTGAAGGTTGAAAGAGTAGCAGGTTGTGCACACATCGAAAGACAACTATTTTCTTTGAGAATAGTTTGTCTGTATCTAGACAGCTTGTTTATGGCCCAAGCTGCCCCTTGTTTTGTCCTTGGTTACAGTGTTCCATTGATGACTGTCAGCTGATGACAGGAGCACTGACAGCTTCTATGAAGCTCCTCCCCTTCTAAAAAGCAAGCTAAAGGACTTAAACATAATTGCTTCAATATAATTGCTTTATTAGAACTGCTTCAATATTGCTTCAAAATCAGTGCACTATATTAGTAGTTATAGCTACCTACTGTGCTGTAAATAATTCTGATTAAGTCCTTTTCAAAAATCTTTATCATTATTGCAACCAAATAAAATAAATAAATAATTTTATTTTTATAAATATATTTGCTTTGCCATCCTTAATACTGCTGGACGAAGTTGTATAAAGGTTTATTTACAACTGTATAATCCTTTGAACATCAACCATTGACCCAAGATTGGACCCCAGACCAGAACTAGGCTCCTCTTTGAGAAGTTCAAAAAGCAAGGGGGTTCTTTCCACACCTTGTGACTTAATGGGAGGGCTTCTCTAATAAACTTAGAAGCTCCCACTCTGTCTGTGACACAGGTGCCAAAACCCCATTGTTGTCTCAGGTATCTCAGAGCCCACAGCAGCTGTGGACAAGCCCTTCACACCTATTTCACCTCTGGGAGGAAGTGCTGGAGCAGCCTGCTGGCCACAGATCCTGCAGGCAGGGCTGCTTTACACACTCCTCCCACCAGAAACTCGATCCAAGGACAGTTTCTGGGCATGAAAAGTACATATTTAAGAAGGCATGGCAGCCCGACTTGGCTTGCTTTGTAAATAAACACCGGGGGCGTGTAATGCAATAGCACGTATACTTAGTCCCAGCTGGGCTGTTTCTCTATACTGTGTTGTTTTGGTGTTCTGGATCAGAAATCTGTAGGTTTGTTTTTGTACCAGCCACTCAACCACTTAACTGCTTAACCTTCTCCGCAGTCAGCATCTCATAAAAACCAAACAACAGCTCCAGTTGCATGAAAACATGAGCAGCAGACTGGCCTGAAAGCCAAAGGAAAGCTGTAATTTACTGGAAGGGAAGGTCCTCTTTAAATTTACAGAAAGGAGCATATATAGAAACCTAACAAAAGCATGTTATGATTGTCTGACAGGGACCAGGGGACGCTGCTGCAAGAAGTGGTGATGTGGATCAGCTATCATTTTGTCTTGATCAGGTCATAATCCCACATCCTTGATGAGGAGCATCTCTTCCTACTACTAAAACTTCAGAGATGCTGTTGGAAAAGCATAAGTTCAGCTTGAATTGAAGTTGGCCAGAGATGTTGAAAACTGCCCAAAACGGTTCTTTGGATACATAAACAACAGGCAGAAACCTAAGGGAAATATTGGCCCTGTTAAAAAGGAGAAGTGAGCAACACTGAAAAGGCAGAGGTTCTCAACATTTCTTTACCTCTGTCTTTGCTAGCACTGCTAGTTGCAGTTGTCATGGATTTAAGTGGAGTCCTGATGGCAGTGTAGGCTGCACATGCCGGCAATAACAGGGACAACCTTAGGGAAGCTATGGAAATTCAGAGCACTGCATGAGCACCAGGATTTGTGCCACAAACAGCAGTTAATACTAAATTTTTTGTACAGATCACACCAAGTTTCAAGGCAGGGCTTGCAAAGTTGATTTCTTGGGGATAATATATTAATTAAGCAATCAAGCTCATGAGAGCAGAGTTGCTGGAGGAGTACACACACTACCAGACCTACCCCAGAAGGGACCACTGCCACAGACTTGTGCAGAAGGCTGTGTGGTGCTGGTGGGACAGGGAGACTTGAGGACATGCTCTTTCCCTCTCCTTAAGATCCACCTCTGACTGATCAGCGCAGCCTTATGGAGTGGATTCCACTTCATTATTTTGCTTTCTCTCCCCCTTTTCCACCCCTTAGTTTCCTCAGCTACAAGTGCTCCAAGCCTTCTCACCTCCCAGCCTTCTGGCTTTTCTGCCCTATGGGCATTTTCCCCCTCAACCCTTTTTTCCCCCTGCTGTTTCTCCAGCCTTGCCTTTTCTGCTATGCGTTTCCACCCTGGTGTTTCATTTTTTCCTGCTCTGCCCTCTGTTAGTGCTCACCTCCTCTGCTCCAGCTTGAGTAAACTGGTGCTAGCTCCTTGCTCTGACCATCCAAAATTCTCAGCCAAATGAGGCCAAGGGACTCCTCAATGAAATTCCTTGGATATCAGTTTTGTGCCATAGTCTCCTACTCATCGTATCTGGTTCTTTTATACTTCCAAGCTTCATCTTATGCTTTTTGAGCCAGAAGTAAAAGGAAGATGCTGTAGGGCCCAGCATATCTTGGAGTCTCGTTTGCTGCCTGGAAAATATTTGCCTTTATGCCTGTTTATCATTAATGCATCTGAATAATGATCATTAATGCAAAGGAATAGTTCTTGCTGTGAATTAGTCCCCTGTAACAGAGTAAATAACTGCTACACTGGTGATGAGAAAGTTGATGTTGAAGACCTGTAGATTACTTGACATGGGTCCTGACTCCACTTAGTAGGGGAAGGTTCATGCTGCAGCACAGGAGGGACCCTTCAGGATGAGTTTCCCTGGAAAAACTCCCTGGGTTTTGCAGACAGCTCTTGTGCCCAAAGGTTAAGATATTCTGGATATAAATCACTAACAGGTAGGGAGGAATGCTGGTCTCCAAGCAAATTGCCCAAAACTAAGTTGCTCGAGGTGAGTCACAATCAGATGATGATGATTTTGTCATCTCATTTGGACCCACTGTCTGCTGTGGCCTCCCAGCTTTAATGGGTCACTGGAAACAGGCTCTGACACATGCCTGAGGACAAGATGGGATTTTCTGTGCAAGAACTAGGGAACAGTTGTTGCTCCCAGCACTTCCCAGCAATGAGTAAGTGCCCCTGGAAATGAACGGGTGTCAGGAAACTCTGCCTTTCTCTGACCTCCCTGTGTGCCTTCTCCCTTAGTCACCAGCTGGGGCTGTGGGGGGTACTAAGTGTGTTTAAGGTGAGATGCTGTGATACACAAAGTCTAAGATATTCTTTCCCTTTCCCAGCAGAGGAGGATGTCACCACTCCCTGTTTCCACCCTGCACTCCCCCTCCCTGTAAGCTCTGTGTGCTTTCCCCCACATCCGTGTTGTCCTGCCTGCCATAACCAGTGTGGGGCTGGTTAACTAAAGGGGCTTTGTGGAGGTGTGCTTGAGGAAGGTAGGGAAGTTTTAGCTTCCTGTTTGCAGAGTCAGGAGTAGGTTTTTAACAGGAATTATGCTATACCTTTGCTATGGCTTACTCAGTGCTGTCTGGCTCTGGACCACTTAAAACAGAAAGCCAGACCGCAGAAAAGAGCAAAGCATCACTATGGTCACTGGAAAAACTAATCTGTGTCCTTTCTCCATATAGCTCAAACACTGCCCAGGCCTGGGTTTTCAGAGCTAGAGAAACCTCTCCCGAGTTGGGAGGTGGAGGTGTTTGTTGGGGTGTGAGCTTGTGTTTCTCTGCATGGGGATGTGGAGGGAAACTGCAGGCCATCCGTGTCATCTGGAGGAGTTTGCAGGGGAGAAAGTTTAATTCTCTCTGCACTGGCTGCTGGATCCACTTCCAGAGGGGGAAAATCAAAGGGCTGATGCCCCAGGGACTGAAGACTGTGGCCAGACACTGTCCTGGGTCATGCTGTTCTGGCACACCTGACAGGAGGGGAAGGTGCTAGTGGGTTTGGCACAGCAAGCTCTGCTGTGCCACACTTAATCCCTGAAAGTCCTGCTTGTTTAAAGGCATGAATGCAGTCTGATAGTTCATGGCTAACTAGAAAATGAGATTTAGTTAACAAGGTATGCATTAGAACACCAGTGAATTTAAATCACTTGATTTTTAATGACAGCAATAAAATACTTCAGCCCCATGGTAAAAAAGCCTCAGCAGCAGCTAGTGTTAGCCTTGGTTTCTCTCCATGGTTTCAAAGACTATACTATCAGGAACAAAGGAACAAGTACACAACTTCATGTCAGAGCCTAATCTAGGGCACTGTCAAGGGGAAAGGAAAGGGACTCCTTCCTAGGGATGCTGGGCTCAGGAGGCAGAGCTGTGCAGGGCTCTGGCATGGACTTGCTGTATCAGACTGTTTTCACAGTCAACAGCTACTCTGCTTCTCAGGGTTTGCAGAAGAATTCCAGTAGCCATGAGGACCACAGAAAAGGTTTTTAAAAGCTCAGAGATATAAGAAATGTAAGGGCACAGGTCAAAAGGGCATTTTCAAGGGCATATAAAACCCTGAGGCTGTAAACAACTCAGTATGGGACAGCTGACTGTGCACAGGTGATAGTTTAGAACACTTACTGTGATGTATTCTCCAGGAGATGAGATTCAGCTGGCAAAAAAGAGGTATTTAGCTTGTTTGCATTCCCTTTGATCCTCCACTTCTGCTAACCAATCCTTTGGTGTGACTTGTATCAGAAGGGCAATGGTGATATTGTTTCTTACTCTTTCTACACTTAGGATTTGTGTTTCCAGGGCCTGCTGCGTGGGCCACTGACCTGTCAGCATGCCAGTCACAAAGGGGAGGTTTTGTCAAGGTATGTGGCATGGCTTGCTCTGTTTGCCTCCCTTTCTTGCAGAAACCATACAGGAATTAGTTTCCAGTATAGTTTCTAGCAAAATTCTGATATAATTTAATTCAGTTCATATAAAAAAACTCTCTGATAGCTACTTTTTTAGTGTTCTTCTGATGCTGTTGGATATTCCATGTTTTGTGCCTGAAAAATAATTTTACTTGGGGTTGTTCTGTCTTGCAATGGCAAGCTGTTGCTAAAGGCCCCCCAGGAAGGCAAATCTTGTACTGGAGAGATGTTCTCCAGTGACTAGTGTGAGTTTCACCTTTTTTTTACAAGTAGTTAAAGGTCTTCAGGCTGGACTCTGCTCTCATTTCAGTGAGCAACAGAGAGCTTTAATACTCTTTGCTGCAGGGACTGACACACCTTGCTGATGTGACAGACAGAACATGATTAATAAATCATCAGTCTGGCACTGGAATGCTGCTGGAAAATTCCAGTTTAAGAGTTTTACACAGAATGGAAACAAATCAGTCTGTCACATCCCTAAAGTTGCTCAGAATTCATGTGCATTGCCTCATGTTTGAAACAAGAAGCAGAAATTTGGACCTCAGCTCCTTCTGAGAGTCAGGCTGATTCCTTGAAGCCTGCAGGTGTTTGGTCTGAGA